TATTTGCAGTTACTGTAAGTTTTATATTAATTTTTTCTTTATTAATACATAAAAATTAACATGTTACTTACTAATGGGATTTTTTTTTTTTTTTGAGACGGAGTTTCATTCTTGTTGCCCAAGCTGGGAGTGCAGCGGTGTGATCTCAGCTTACTGCAAACTCTACCTCCCGGGCTCAAGAGATTCTCCTGCCTCGGCCTCCTCAGTAGCTGGGATTACAAGTGTGTGACACCACGCCCAGCTAATTTTTAGTAGAAATGGGGTTTCACCATGTTACCCAGGCTGGTCTCGAACTCCTGACCTCAGGTGATCTACTCTCCTCAGCCTCCCAAAGTGCTGGGATTATAGGTGTGAGCCACCGCTCCCAGCCAGGATTTTATTTTCAACATTCCATCTTGAGTTTCTTTATTTTGAAAGTTTTACAAGTAAATAAAAGGTTCAATCTCATAAAATAATTAAATATTGATTTATATTAGAGAGTTAAAGGTAAAAGTCCCTTTTTATCCCACGGACTATTCAGTGTAACAGTTTTGGTATGTATCCTACCAGACATTTTTCTATGCATCTTTATAGATACGTACATATACACAAACATACACACACATATTTATATACACATTTGTTTTTTAACATATAATATGATTTTATTTGTACATTATACTGAGAATTTTAAAATTCTTTTTTCAATTCATTTAGGTTCTACCATATTTTTTTTATAGTATGTCAGAGTATACATGTACTGTAATTTCTTGAGACATTCAACTGTACATATTAGGTTGTAACTAATATTTTTGCTGTAGTCATTAATAACGCAGTAAATAGTTTGGCGTAGAGGCACATTGCCTGTGGTCCCAGGTACTTGTCAGTCTGAGGCCGGAGGATCACTTGATCCTAGGAGTTCAAGGCTATAGTGAGCTGTGATCACACCACTGCACTCTAGCCTGGGCAACAGAGTGAGATCCCGTCTCAAAAAAAAAAGCAGTGAATGTTTTTCTTCATGCATATGTATGCGTGTGAGCGAAAGTGTGGACAAATGAACATCATTCTTTTGCCCTTAGGATTCAGTGCTCTCTCCTACAGCCTCCAGGCCTGGGATCTGAAAGTACCTTGGGTGGTAAAACTGGATTTGGCTGGATGGAGGGTTTGGGGAAGAACCATACAAAGAGCCTCAGATGTTTTTAAATGCAGCAAATAACATTTCTGGATGAGATTTGTTTCCAAAATAAACCAGCAATATTTGTTTCCAAAAAATATATACACATATATGCCTGTGAAACTACCAAGACCAGATGCCTTTTTGGGGTTTAACTACTTTATATTTTCTGTTTTCAAAAGTAATGCCTTTTTCTTTTTTATCCTTAGAGGTAGGTTCTTGCTCTGTTGCCCAGGCTGGAGTATAGTAGCTCAGTCTTGGCTCACTGCAACCTCTACCTCCTGGGTTCAAGAGATTCTTGTGCCTTAGCCTCCCTAGTAGCTGTCATTACAGGCTTGTACCACCACACCCGGCTAATTTTTGTACTTTTAGTAGAGACAGGGTTTGACCATGTTGTCCAGCCTGGTCTTGAACTCCTGGCGTCAAGCAATCCACCTGCCTTGGCCTCCCAAAGTTTTGGGATTACAGGCGTGAGCCACCACGTCCAGCCTAAAAGTAATTCATATTTGAAGCAAGTATATATAGTTTAAAAGGGAGATAATATATATTTGTAATAAATAATTGTATGTGTATCTGTTAGACTGCTTTTTTTTCTTTTCTTTCTTTTTCTTTTTCTTTTTGGCCAGGGGGCCAGGGCGGCAGGGACATGGTCTCACTTTGTCTCCCAGGCCGGAGTGCAATGGCATGATCATAGTTCACTGTAGCCTCAAATTCTTGGGCTCAAATGAGCCTCCTGCCTCAGCCTCCCAAGTAGCTAGGACTACAGGTGGGCACCACCATGCCTGACTAATTTCTTTTTTATATTTTATGGAGATGGGGGTCTTACTGTGTTGCCCAGGATGGTCTCAAACTCCAAGGCCCCTTTTTCACTTAAAATATTTTTTAATATCTTTCCAATCTTTTAATTTGTTTATCCTACAAATACTTCATTCCAACAAAGTAACATGAACATTTAGGAAGACTATCATATTTGGCTATTTATCGAGCTCGAATAGTAGTTTTAATGGCTTTCCTTTGCCGGGCGTGGTAGCTCACACCTGTAATCCTTACACTCTGAGAGGCCGAGGCGGGTAAATGACCCGAGGTCTGGAGTTCGAGACCAGCCTGGCCAATATGATGAAGCCCCATCTCTACTAAAAATACAAAAAATTAGCTGGGCATGGTGACGTGTGCCTGTCAACCCAGCTACTCAGGAGGCTGAGGCAGGAGAATCACTTGAACCCGGGAGGTGGAGGTTGCAGAGAGCCAAGATCATGCCAGTGCACTCCAGCCTGGGCAACATGAGTGAAACTTTGTCTCCAAAAAAAAAAAAAAACAGCGTTTTTCTCTGGTTTTCTGCACAATTCTGTTATCTACAAATAGTGATGACTTTGACTATTTTTCCATACTTATTACTAACTTAATTTTCCTGGTTTTATTATGTTAGCTAGAATTTCCAAAGTAAAGTTGAATAATAATGAACTCTTACTCTTCATCTTCTGGATTTTAAAGGGAGTATTTCACTTTATAGTTAAGTATAGTCAGCCCTCCTCATATGTGGGTTCCACATCCATGAATTTAACCAACCGCAGATCAAAAATATTCTTTTTAAAAAAGAGCCTAGGCACAGTGGCTTATGCCTGCAATTCCAGCACTTTGGGAGGCCAAGGCAGGCGGATCATGAGGTTAGGAGTTTGATACCAGCCTGACCAACATGGTAAAACCCCGTCTCTACTAAAAAAATACAAAAAAAAATTAGCCAGGCATGGTGGTGCACACCTGTAATCCCAGCAAATACTTGGGAGGCTGAGGCAGGAGAATCGCTTGAACCTGGGAGGTGGAGGTTGCAGTGAGCCGAGATTGCGCCATTGTACTCCAGCCTGGGCAACAGAGCAA